AGTTTAAAAAAAAAATCATTTTTTGAGAAGAAAACTTTGATTTGACACACTCACTGAATGCTTAAATGAAAGCTGACAACTTACTTCACCCATATCATCTTCCTCCTCTTCTTCTGATGTGACCTCCTCTGTTCCATGCTACACACACACACACACACACACAAACAAAAAAAAAAAAACAGTTTAAATCAAACTAACCACCTTCTATCAATCACGAATGGAAGAGTAGTACACCATGATGAGATCTAACTGCAGTCTCATGGACATTCAACTGCTGGGGTGTCCCCAAGATCAACTAGGTTGTGAAAGCAGAATAAAACATCCCATCTACAGTGTGTACGCAGGGTATACAGTATATATGTTCTCAGCAGCATTAACAGGGAACTTGCCTTTCTGTCTTTTTCAACAGGACCTGCAGGCAGGGGCTGGTCTAGCATCTCCACATCAGGATGTTGTGGAAGATTGTACAAGCGGCAAAGGTCACAGATCAGCTTTTTCAACTGCTGCAAAAGCTGGAGGTGACAAAACACAATGATGACATTAACTGTTGCAAATGACACTACGGCACAATGCCCCATGGCAACAAAAAATCTGTATATGCATTGAAAAGGCATCTTTTTTTTCCTCCAYGTGTTCTTTAAATTAAATCTACACATTAATGTTTGTGCAAGGCTGAACAACAACAAAAACACCCCTCTTTTAAAAACACATTGCATGAAGTTGTGTATTAAAGCTGCAGAATTTGAGACATTGGTAATTATTTTATAGTAGGCAAACCAAGGTACAACTACTGAGTTTACAAAGTATGGATATAAATATCATAGGACTCACTAGGAGTTCTGCAAATGACAGAAGAGTAAACATTAGCATGCAAAGGCTCAATACAAGTATTTTGTTTGACAACTATAAACAAGTTTTAAAGAGACAATAAAACATTTAAAATGTTGTTTAAACTGCTCATCTCTTTGTTTTACCAGCTCCTAAGAAATAAAAGTTTCTAATAGAAAACCACTTTTCTACCAAGTCCTTTAGTTGTTGATTTTTTTTAATAAACCCATTTTCAAACAGTGCACAGGTCTTCAAACTGCACGTTGTTAAATGGTGTCTCTGCTGTGAATGTTCTGCACTTGTCGCCGCCCTGCCTTTGCAAATTTGGTGCAGATCAAATATGGCGCAACAGCAAAACATGTGAGCAACAGAAAAAAAAAACCCCCACAGTGATCTTATCGTTCACAACAACAAAGGTTGTACTTTGATGAATGCAGTGGAAACTAACAACTATGCCAAGAAAACTGGAAATGCTTTTTTAAGCATTTTTTAAGTTCAGAGAAAGGTATGTTATGTGAAACGGGGTGATGAATCTCAGAACTTGGTCTTAAAT